TTAGGACAAGGTCAGAAGGGAAGAGAAAGCCTTCTGTCTGCCCAAGAAGTCCTGCACTGATAAGCGTCTTTTTTTTTTTTTTTTTTTTTTTTTTTTTTAACATCTAAGTTGCCCTGGCTGGGCTGGAGCTTGCATCCTCCTGCCTCTGCCTCCTACAGTGCTGGGGTCATGGGCCTGCACCACTATGCCTGGATGCTCATGTTTTGACATGCTAAGAAATCATTCTTTCTAACCCAACATCTCGTTTATCCTTTCAGCCACCTGGTAATTTGTTCTGTTCCTTCCGGGCACATCTCAAAGTGCACAACTTCAAATAGAAAGGCTCTCTCTCTCTCTCTCTCTCTCTCTCTCTCTCTCTCTCTCTCTTATCTTTTTAAGACGGGGTCTCATTATGCAGTTCAGGCTGGTCTTGAACTCACAGTGGCTCTCCTGCCTCAGCCTCTTCTGTGCTGGGACTGCACATGTGCACCGCTATATCCAGCTCCTCAGCACATTTCTTTCAGCTTCTAGTAGCCGGAGTGGACTCTGTTGTTTGCAACTAAGAACTGTGCAGATGACTCCTCCTTAAAGAGACCAGAGTCACCATCTTCCTTATAGTTCAATGAAAGAAAGACTTGGGTCTAACAGACTCTCCATAGCGGGCTTTACTCTCTGTGCAAACCCTCAACACCTGCACAAGGGTCAGGCAAAGGGCAGAAAGACACTGCCACCTGTCACCCTGCATTCCAAATTCTTGGCACACAGCTGCTACTGAAAAGCATATTTCGAACCCAGCCACTGGGCAAGGGGCGGGATAAGCCTTCTCAAGGCACTAGAAGTTCCGTCCCCAACACCGAGTCTGGTCAGCTGATTTCAAGGTACCAGCATTTTTTACTCTTCTTATATGTGGGGCAGAAAATGGAATCGCTTTAGCAGGGCATGTGAAATAGCTCTCAAAAGATTTCGTGCATTTCAGTATAAAGGGAATACACTTGTCTCGGGTGGCTGTCGCAGGCAGCATCCAGACAGGGGATAGTATGTTTTTTTAATGTATTTAGTACAGGGTCTACAGAGTCTCATTATGTAGATCAGACTCATAGTGATCCTCCTGTTTTCAGCCTCCCAAGTGCTAGGATTACAGGTGCGTGCCACCACACCCAATCTCAATCTCCGTCTGAGCACGCCACGGGGCGGGGCCAGTACAGCACGCCGGAATTGAACCCCAGACCCTGCCTCTGCCAAAGCAGGCACTTTAATCTGCTGAGCTCTCTGGCTGGTCCTGAATAGTATTTGCATCAGAGTCTCTGAGTGACAGCTGTCCTTCAGCAGCATCTGTTCTGGCTGTGCTGACGTCTATAGACAGCCATCCTAAGCTCGGCACAGGATCGAGAGTTTACATAGATCTCATTCACCAGCTCAACACAGATGTGGATGCCTGTAAGTCCAGCTCTTAGGAAGCCAGGAGGATTGCTGCAAGTCCAAGCCCAGCCTGCATTGCATAGCAAGAGCCTGGCTGAGAAAAGAAAAAAGAAAAAGACCTCATTCAGGAAATATGAAACTCTTGGGCCGGGGAGATAGCTCAGTAGAATAAGCGCTTGCCTGGCAAGCACAAGGGCCTGAGTTCAATCCCCGGTTCTGCAAAAAAA